CCTGTGTCAATGGCTAATCTTGTCACTGGTCTTAGGGTGCCAGGTACTGAATGGGACAAAAGAAGGCAGGCTACTGTCTCCCCAATTCCTGTTCTCTATCCTGATGCTGCCTTGGAGGGGCTTCAGAGATGGTGTGGGCAACCCTGGTGGAGCCTAAGCCTTCACTCATGTACCTTCTTACTCCTGCCCTGGGAGGTGGCTCTCTGATGTGACTGGGCTCTAAGTCACTGAGTAGGTCACTAGAGATGTGCATATATTGCACAGACACATCACCACTGTGGGGCTCTTTCTTATCTCCAGCCTGAAAATAAAGAACCTGAGACTAAGAGGCAGACTTTCCCAGGGTAACACAGGCAGGGTCACTACAGCTCCAAGTTTATCCTTAGAGTGGGTTCCAGGACTAACGACATAAACTAGGGTTGGGGTATAGGGACAGAGCTTAGTGATGGAGTACTAACCTAACGTGCAAGGCCCCAAGTACTGTAATAAATAAATTAATAAAATGAAATAAGATTGGGCTTGGGCTCAACTTTTCATTATGAACTCCTGCCCACTTACAGTTAGCAGCTGAATTTTAAAATTGTCACAGTTAGGAACCAGAGGGCAGCATAGTGCCAACTGCACCATTGCAGTGTCTTCTTGGTTTGGCAAGCCAGCTGAACGTCACCTTTACTGTAATCACAGCCCTCACGGACTGGGTCATTCAAGACTAGAGCTCTGCCCCCTTGTTCTGGCCCCATCCACAAACACTGTTCTCAGCTCACTTCCCAAGGGGAACCGACAGCTTCCCAAGTGCTACAGGAGGTTCCCACAGTTGCCATGGTCCTCAGGAGGCACTCTGAGAAGAGTTAGCTTCCTTTGCCCCTTGTTCCAAAGACAAGTGGACCCTTACACAATAAAAACCTTCCACCAACCTCTTTCCAAGCCACACAATCAGAGATGGGAAGCAATGTGAATCCTCCAACCTGAAAGCTATATCTGCAACTCCTCATGGGTGGCCTATGGCTCATGCAGTCCCCTGCCAGTAACAGAATGGTGGGATAACCACTCAGCAAGAATGTCAGGAGATCTAGGCTGCAGGCCACAGCCTGGCCTCAGAATCTCAGAGGGGCTAGGCTGGAGGAGGGCTTCAAGGGCCCAAGAGCCCTCCTTAAAGGAGAAGGCAAACTATGGTTAGTTAATGGCAATGCACTTTCCTGAGGATGCCTTCATTAACCTCCCTGTAAATCAAAAGTTAGAGACCCACAGTTTATTGTTTGTTGCCCCCCACAACCCCTCCCCACCCAGTGGTCAAGGATCCAACCCAGGACCTTTACAATCTAACCAAAAGCTCTACTACTGAGCTAAATTCCAGCCCAGAGACCCCTCCCCCCCCCCAGAAGAGGTCGTTTTGAAGGCTCCTACCACCTCTAGCTAGGCCCTTCCCTTCTGTGTTTTTAAGCATGAGCCCCACTCACCCCACTCAGCCATTTTGCAACTCAGGCTAACTCAGCTGTGGCTCCAGGAAACACCATTAGATTTCTTGTTGGGCTTTGTTTGTTTGTTTGTTTGTGTTTGTCCTGGGTGTGGGTGGTCACCAAACATACATTGTACCAGTGAGCCACATCCCGGCCCTTTTTTGTTGTTGATGTTGGCAATGGTTTTGAGACAAAAGCTCACTCTGTGGTTCAGGATGATATGTAACTCACTATGTCACCCAGGCTAGCTTTGAACTCATGGTAATTCTGTCTCATCTCTTTAGTGCTATGATTAGAGGTGTGAGCCCTCACATCCAGTTTTACTCGAGTTCTATTTCTTGATTCCTTGCAGGGAAAGCCCTGAGTTTCAGTGTCACACTGAAGACCTTTTAGCTCCCGGAAGACACAGCAGGGTTTGATCAGGACTAGGACTTCAGGTGGGTATGGCTCACCACGCCTCTGACTTCTGTCCATTGGCAGGCAAGAGCTCTCAAGGCAACAACAGACCAAAGGTGTGCCAGGCCTTGGTCCTTGATCACCTTCCAGGATGCAGCCCTGGGGCGTTCCTGAGCCAGGCTTCTGTGTGGAACCTGGTTTTCATTAAGTAAGGTGATGAAGTCACTGAGTGCCAAGGCAAGAAGAGGCAAAATTCAGCTAGAGGGGTCAGGGAGGGAGACCTCCTCCAAGACCAATGGTGGGGGAGGGAAGGCAGGGCTCCTGGGGACCCGGGGCTGCAGCAGTAGGAACTAGTGGTGGGAGTGGGGGAGTCCAGCCAGATAATAAGCAATTGTTAATGTGATCCATATGGATCCTGACTGGCTTCTCTGTTTAACAGGATAATGGCAGAGAAAGAATGCTGGTCTGTGGGGAAGGAAAGGGGCAAAGTCCTCTCCGAACTTGGGGGGTGGGGAGGGTCACCAAGGAGGAGGAGGGGAGAAAGGGAGGAAGAAGGGAGGAACTGAGCCACCCAGGGGTCTCCACCACCCAGGAGGAATGACCAGACTCCAGGTTTTGCAGACCACCTGGTTAAAATCTTCATGAAACTCCTTTTCCTCACCTAACTGACATTTATGGGCACCCAAATGGCACAAAGTATGCCGTTGGGCCAGGGGCCATCCTTGTATATGCTGGCCTCCTGGAGGCAAAGGCTAGTTTGGACACAGCCACAATGTAAGGGAGGCACAGGTGCAGGGCAAGGAGACTGTGGAGGGAGGGAAGAAGGGAAGGAGGGAGGGAGGGAGGGAAGGAGGGAGGGAGGGAGGGGCAAGTGACAAGAGCTGGGGACTCTGGGGAGGCTACACAGGGAGATATGTGGCATCCTAGCTGGGCCTTGAAGAATGAGAAGGTTGTGGCAAGACCGGGACAATGGAGAAGGCATTTGGCTGAAGGAACAGCAGGAGCTGAGGCAGAGAGGCGTGAAATTGCGTGGAGAGCCTGAGATTCAGCAATAAAGCCAGGCGGGGGAGGGGGGAGAGGAGGGGCTCTTGATCCATAAAAAGCTGTGGCCATGGATGACCAGGATGGAACACCACACTGGTGCCTGGGTTCCTTTCTCTTGCCTCCTTTTTCCCTGCCTTGACCTGGGTAGTGTACTGGAATTGTCTAGCTAGTGATCCTCAATCTGGCCACTCAGTTTCCACCAGAGCCAAAGAATATGCAGGACCTTACAGGCCCACCACATCATCCCTGTGTCTCCCTCTCTTCCTCCTAGGGAGGTTGAGAAATCTTGAAGACTGGACCTTCCAGGAACAACTCCAATCCTGCATTACAACTAAGTTCCCTTTGGCCCCAAAAGGGCTTCCCCCAGAAGACAGTAAAGCAAGGGCGTGTGGGTCGCTTCTGGATGGTGCAGGCACCAACGGAATCAAGGGCAATGAGGGTCGCTTCTGGCTGCTGCGCACACCAATGGAATCAAGTGGAAATAAATGAAATGGTGTTAAATATGGGGAAGGGGGATTTACGAGGCCTGTCACACAGCCCTCCGGGGCCTTCCAAGAAGACCCGCCTCTTTCTTCGGACGACTGGAGAAAGTCCCGCCCCGCCCCCTGCCCGCAGCTTGGAGCGAACGAATACCCGCTCTCAAATCCTAGGGCACCCCCTTGCTGCCCATTACTACTGTCCCTGGGTGGGGGGAGATAAAGCCCAATAGAGAACGGCGTTCAAACACGACCTAGAGATTCTGGGGGATGGGAGGTTCTGGAAGGATGCTGGGGGTTTTGGATGGGGCGCTAGGAAGGTCCGCAACTCCCCCACGCAGTCAGAGGCCTTTGGACCACAGCATCTCCGGACCCACTCCAAATAGAGGGTGACTCCGGGGAAGGTGTCAAACCCCGGAAACCGAGAAACCCCCAGTCTGTAAACGCAGAACCGGGATGGGAGCACACACCCCACTCCTAGTTGCGGGGCTGAGAGCCGGAGCTCGCTCTGCCTCTACTGCCGGAGCGGACAACACAAACATTCTTCCGTCCTCTATTCTCCTCCAAATTAGGTATCCATGGAGACTGGGCCGGCAGCCTGACAGCCCCACGGCCTAATCCTGATTTAGTGACCGTCCCTTTAACAGCCCACCCACCCGCCCACCCACCCCTGCACTCCGGGCAGCAGCGGGGCGCAGGCTCCAGGCTGCTCTCGATCTCCCCGGCGCAGAACGCTCACAGGCCATCGGGAACCACTGCACTAGAGAGGTCCGGGAGGAAGCCAACATCTATTAAGCTCTTACTGTGTGCCCAAAGATCTACGGGGTGCCCTCTATCAAGGGTCTGGAAATGGGAATCTCTGTGTAGACCAGAAGAGGGCTCTAGGAGTGGGGAAGTTTAAGGGGCTCTGTCTAGAGCTGTGAACTCGGGGGGGGGGGGGCTCCGGGTAACCAATGGCCCACGGGTGAAAGTAAGCGCAGCTTCGTGCAACACCCCAACTCTGAACTAGGACTGCTGTCCCAGGCTGAGGAGAAACGAAGGCTGTGTGCGCAGGGGCGCAGGGACCGAAATGGCCCCGGTCTCCTGTCACTGCCCCGTCACGATGCTAGGGAATCTCCAGGCCAGTAACCCAGCCCCCACCCCCTCCCGCACACACAGGGGCCGCTGGACAAAGACCTGACGGAATGGGAGGGGCCTGCGGGCCGGCCCTCGGGCTCCGGCCGCCGGATCCTTCTGGGACCCGAACCCGTAAGTCCTGGCTCCCTCTCCCCAAGCCCGCAGACTCCCCAGAGCCCGCCGCTCGCTACCACCACCGCCTCGACTCCAGATCGCGCGGCGAAGCGGGTGCCCGTCGGCGGCCGAGCGACGGTCCCATCCCAGGTCGCCCCCTTCCTCCCGAGAAATGACCCTGGGCTCCCACGCACCCGCTCGGGTCTCTCCCGGCCTTGCCCTCCGACCTCCGCCTAGTCAGACCCTCTGCCCCTCAGCCCCCGCCCTCCCCGGGCCTCGCACGGCCCCGTGCCCGCGGACAAAGCTCCGGACATCGGACCGCACAGTCGCCACCCCCTGACCCCCGGCCCGCCCGCGCGCTCCCGCGCCTGCCCCCTCCCGGGCCTGCGACGCGTACCTCGGCATCCCGGCCGGGTCCTAGGTGAGTGTGCGCGGCCTCGGGGGGCGTCCGGCCCAGGGACCGGGGCGGGAGCGCGGGCCGGGGGCGACGGGCCAGGGCTGGGGGTCAGCGGCGCTCACCATCCTGGGGCCGCTGCTGCTGCGGCTGCTGCGGCCGCCGCGGCCGGGAGCGGGACTGGGCAGTGGGGGTGGCCGGACAAGGGGCGGCCCAGGCTCCCCCCGCAGGCAGGACCCCCACCCCTCCTCCCCTCTCCCGCCCCCAGCGCCCTCCCTCCGGGCCCGCGCCCCGCCCCTCCCAGCGCCCCGCCCCCGCCCCAGCTCGCCCGGCCCCTCGGAGCGGCCTCGCCGCCCCGCCTCCCCCTCCCCGGGCTCGAAAATAAATTAGCCACCCGGGGGGAAAAGAGCAGATGACCCTCCGTGTGAGAGTGTCCTTGCGCCACTCTCGGGCCGCTCGCCCGCTCCCGCCTCCCCTGCCGTCGGAGCGGGAAGTGCGCTGGGTGTGGAGGCCCGACCCGGAGGCGGGGAGGCCGGGGAGGCCGGACGAGCGCGGAGGCCAGGGTTAAGCGTCAGGCTGCCGTGAGTGGCCGCTGGCTGCGAGCCGCTTCCTGGGTCGAAGGGCAAAGGGGAAGGCGGCCGGCCGGGCCCGCCCCGTCCGCTGGCTGGCCAAGACCTCTTCCAGGACGCCTGCGAACTCTCGTCTGCGTCCCCGACCCGGGTGCGCAGAGCGCCTACACCGTGCAGGATGCCCAGGGCAGGACGGACAGCCAGGCGAGGGCACTGTCTCTGCACAGGTGCCACCGAACGAGTTGGGGGGGCGGGGAGTGTACAGGAGACCGAGCCTTGAACTGAAGAGCGGACTCAGGGGTGGGACTTAAAAAAGTCAATCATTCTGAAGAGCTTCCCCCAAGGATGGGCCCATTGGCGCGGACTGAAGAAGCCCCAGCCACTACTGGTGACCAGTGGCATTTGCACTGAGGTATATGCCGTTGTGCCGAGCGTTGGTGCTCCCAGTCTAGAGTAGGTACAGTTTTAGGAGTCTCAGCGCTTCGGTGGTGATGAAGGCCAAGACTCCCTGGGCCCTAAGAAGCCGTGAGCACAGGCTCTACACTTTTGGTGGAGGTTCTGGAGGAGCCCAGAGTGGCCAGATGATCTGTGATTTACCACCTGTGGGTAGTGCTTCAGGGCTCTGCCTATCTTCTGAGGCTTCCTTTTCCTTCCGGGTGGCTGGTCAGCATGAGCCAGGACAGGATTCACCCTGGAGGGACTTCCTCTAACTTGCTCAACAGGCCTCTAGTCTCTGAGTCCCAGAACTCTACAGTATCCAATCCCTTCACCAGGGACCATGCCTCTGGCCACTCTGGCCTCTCACAGACCCAAGCAGCTCTGTAGGTGCCAGGGAAGGGGAAGGCACAAGCTTCCAATCATCCTTTTTACTTTTTATTTTTTTCATAACCTAAATATGAAAATAAGACCAACATCCAGCCAAGTTCTGAAACTCATAAGACGAACCCCAGAATTTTCCTGCTTGTACCCCATCTCCCCATTCTAATCACATACCTCTACCCACACACCCTGACACAAACCAGGGATGTGCCAAGACTCATAATCATAAAGGCAGGGCACAAACAGCCTCCATCCCCATGCTAGCGGGGCAGGAGTTGTGACAAGACAAGGAGCTTGTTAGTTGTATTTATTTTCTGTTGGGGCATCTGAGACTTGGGGGCAGGAGGTGCCCAGCAAAGCCCACTGCATTCCTGTTCTCTGCAGCCCTTGATGGCCAGAGGCAGATTTAAGAGGCCAGTGTCCACAACAGCAGAGATGTCTCAGTCATCTGGAATTGTGCCAGGATGCCAAGCCTGGCTGGCCTCTGATGGGCAACTCTGGGACCAGACTGCACCAGTTTCCAGGAGGAGATGGTGACAGGAGGGGGCTTCCTCTGAGGCACTCAGCTTGAAGAAGCATTCGCATCTTCCTAGAGAAGAACACTCCCCAGTGCCCGAATCTAGGGAAAGCCTGTTCATGCCTGAGAGAGATGCTTAGCATTCTGTAGAAGCCTCCAAGGCCCTACCATTCAGACCAGATCTTACAGTACCACACGGTTCTTACTCTTAGGTGGCCATGGGTCACAGTGAGGGCTGTAGTTAGCAGGTGGGGGAAGCCTGCTCTCTTGCCTCCTTCACCTACATCCTGTCCCAGTGCCCAGGCAATGAAGTATTGCTTTCCTTCTCTGAACTCATTAAGGTCCTGTTAATACATCACCCTGAAGCTGACACACACTCAGTTCTGGCAAATGGCCTTTCATCATATCTCTATTCTTGGCCTTTCTGGGGGGCTAATCTCTAAGGGCTCCTGCTTGACCCCTATCCTAACTGCCCTCAGGCAAGGAATCTGTGCCCTGCAAGCCCCCTGCTGAGGTCACTGAGAGCCTCCCAGGGCAGGTCAAGTGCCCACAATGGATTGGATAATAATAGTGGTAATGATGGCTAATGCATAGGCTTCCAGGACTACCATCCTCTTGCAGCCATTTGGCTTCTATCACTTCCAAGATGGAGTACCCACTGCTACCCATCCCAGAAGCAGGGGCTGTTCTTGGTGTATGACTGGATGTCAGCAACTTCATGTGAGTGTGTATGCACAGGTAGGAGCATAAGTGTATATGGCCCAGAAATGGGCATCAAGGGCTTTCCAAAACCATGCAGAATGCCTTACACCCTCTTGGAAGACTTTAGATGGGGAAAGGAGGGCTCTGGGAAGTAGCAGGAGCCAGACTCAAAGAAGGTAGAAGCAGGTGGGGTGAGGAGGTAAAGATAAAGGCCCTAGAGAAGGATGGGTGGAGGGAGGAAGCAGAAAGAAATGGAAGAGAGGAAGAGGAAAGGGAGGGTGTGCTCTCTGTGGTCCTCTGCTAGCCCCTCAGGGCAGGAAAGGAAGGAAGCATGTCGTGGTTGAGGGGACAGGGAGTGTGCCCAGAGTACACCACACCCCACCAGCTGCTGCCTGAACTTGCCTCTCTGGTCAGGCTCAGGCTGCTCTGTCCACAAATGGAAGTGCCAGCCTTTTGGGATTTGGGGGTTTGGTCATCAAGGCCTAGCTGCTAAAGTTTCCCCCATTGCCAAAGCCCTCCCACCCATGCCCCACCACACTGCCGTTCATAAACTTACACCAGCTTTGTCATCCCCTCCCCCTTCCCCCCTGCTGCCTCAGGATGGGTCCGGGCCAGCACCCACACAGCCAGTCTGGGAGCCTCTGTGGGAATTAAAAAATGCACTCATTCCTTTCAGGTCCACCTCTATGTCAGGCCACATCAGCGCCCCTCTTGACTTCCCTGTGCCTAACGGGATGGGGAGGGCGTGAACGCTAGCACACACTCAAAATCCTCAACTTACTCTAGATACTCTGCTGCTGTGCAAACAGAGGCTCCCCGGGCCCCTCCAAGAGCACAGCTTTTGCTCCAGCATCTTGAGTTTAATCCCGCTTTATACCTGTAGTCCCACAGAATTCAGTAACACCGAGCTATTAGAACACTTCCTAATCTCTGAGCCCAGAATCTTATTTTCTACTCCAGTTCAACCATCAGAACCCAACTCAGTTGAACTTTCCTCTGTGAAATCCTGCAGAGTCATTAACTTCATCTCAGCACGATTTTAAGGTCTTTCCCCCACTAGGTCTAGGGCTTGAGTCCAGGTCTCTGCTTCATAGAGCCTGGCCCCTCCATCTGTCCAGAGGCAGGACCCACACCCTCTTAACACACCAGCCCCTAGAAACCCACAGGAAGTCTCTCCTCTCTTACAAAGTTTACAAATGCAGGGTAGGGTGGGGAATTAGAAAACCAGTGTGCATAGAAGGTCCCCTGCCCCTGCTCTGCCCTCTGGGGCTGGGCCTGATTGGAAAGTCCCAATACATCTGTTTGTACTTAAGACATTTAGTAATGTCCAGGACTGCTCCTCCTGCTCAGCCTTCTCCTTTCTAACTCAGCCTTCTACTCCCTTTTCCAGCCTCAGAGAGGGGAGGGGCTTAGCAAAGCCCAAGGAGTTGGACCCAACCCTTCTCAAGCTGTGTTGCCATGGTGCCATGGTATTGTGGTGCCATGGGGTCCTGGTGCTGTGCTCCCTGGGCCCCAAAAGAGCTACCTCCAGGTCCTGCATGCATAGCACACTTGGACCAACTCTAACCCCTTCCACACCTGGGCTAGTACAAATCGAGGAATATAACTGGTCCTGAAGCCACTTTAGCCGTCAGTCATTTTCCAAAAGCCCTTGCAAAATATTGAAGGGTAAAAGAGAAGAACCTAATGAGTGGTGTATGTCTGTAATCCCAGCTACTCCAGAGGCTGAAGCAGGAGGATTACTTGAGCCCCGGAATTTGAGACCAGCTCACTATAAGCATCATAGTGAGACCCTGTCACAAGAGGGTTTTGGGAAAATAAAGAACAGAGTGGATCTACCTAGATGGGCCTTGAAAGACTCCAGATCTAGAAGATGGCATTTACCAATGCCCACGTGTGCTCTGAGACTAGAGACTTAGAAGACCCAGTGCTTGCAGAGGAATTTGGGGACAGCAGCAGGGAGGGACAGTAGGACAAGAAGACATATAGATTTGCATGCCTATAACTCCAACAGTACAGAAGCAGGAGGGCCAGTGCAAGCTCAGAGATCAGCCTGATCTACGTAGCCAACCAGTCTACATGGAAAGAAAGGTAGCAAAGGAAGCAAAGTAGCTGTAGCTCTCAGGCAAGGAGTAGTATTCAGGGTACAGTAAGGCTCTAGCCCCTGCTCACCTGGGAAGGGGTGGTGATGTTCATGTAATACAATGTGTGGAAGCACTTTGGAAAGTGCTGAGTGGCCACTATTGGTAGGCACAAATGTGTGTCTGCTGCTCTGTTTAGCTCCAATTAGCTTGGAACTCACTCTGCAGTCCAGGCTGGCCTTAAACTCAGAACAATCTGCCTGCCTCAGCCTCCTGAATGCGGGAATTATAATAGAATGTCCCCATACCCAGTAAGGTCTAAGTTCAGAGTGTATGTGTGTACATGTGTGTGCACATGGAGATTGGAGGTTGATGCTGTCTTTCGCGATCTTCCTCCACTGTGTTTGTTGTTTTGTTTGTTTTGGGCCTCGAGTTCACTATGTAGACCAGGCTGGCCTGGATCTCACAGAGTCCTCCTACTTCTGCTTCCTCGATGCTGGGGTTAAAAGTGTGTGTCATCACACCTGACTTTCACCTTATATTTT